TCGAGAAAATCTGATATGGGGCATAAGAAGCGGAACATCGCTCCTCGCTCCAAGGCAGCAGCGGCGTCGTCGGAGGATGCGGTAGCCGCCGACGGTGTTGCTTCAAACCCTTCCTCTGCCAGAAAACCCGCGAAATCGGATTCTGCTGATTTGGACGGGTACGGGATCGCCAACAGCAACGAGAGCCCTTCTTCTTCTTCTTCTTCCTATGCTATGTTGAAGACCGAATGCGAGCGTGCCCTCAACGCTATGCGCCGGGGGAACCACACCAAAGCCCTAAGGCTGATGAAGGATTTGTGCACGAAGCACGAGAGTTCTCCCCACCTGGCTTTGATTCACCGTGTCCAGGGCACTGTGTGCGTGAAGATGGCCTCCATACTCGACGACCCGAACGCGAAGCAGCGGCATATGCGGAATGCCGTGGAGAGTGCCCGGAGGGCCAGCAGCCTGTCCCCAAGTTCAATTGAGTTTGCGCACTTCTACGCCAATCTGCTGTACGAAGCTGCAAATGAGGGGAAGGAGTACGAGGAGGTGGTGCAGGAGTGCGAGAGGGCTTTGATGATCGAGAACCCTGTGGACCCTGCCAAGGAGAGCTTGCAGGAGGAGAATCAGCAGAAGATCTCGACAGCCGAGGCTCGAGTGGCCCACGTTCAGAGTGAGCTCAGGTCGTTGATTCAGAAGTCGAACATCGTCTCCCTCTCGACTTTGATGAAGAATCTGGGCAATGGGGATGAGACGTTTCGGTTGATTCCAATCAGGAGGGTAACTGAGGACCCGATGGAGTTGAGATTAGTTCAGACACGGAGGCCGAACGAGATTAAGAAAGTGGCCAAGACACCCGAGGAGCGGAGGAAGGAAATTGAGGTTAGGGTGGCTGCGGCTCGTCTTCTGCAGCAGAAATCGGAGTCCCCTCGTTTGGTCAATGATGAGGATAGTGGTAATAACAATAGCAGGGGGCCGGATTCTGGTATGGGTTCAGGTCACAGATCAGGAGAAAGAAGGAAGTATGGTAATGCGAGGAAAAACGTAACTTCGGATGAGAGAAGGGATTTGGTCTGGTCATATTGGAACTCTGTGAGTGTAGATGTGAAGAAAGATATGCTGAGAATTAGTATATCGGATCTGAAGGAGCATTTTAGTTCATTGAAAGATGGGTTGTCAATGAGTGAAGTGTTGAACGAGGCTTTATCTTTCGGGAAGAAGCACAAAATGTGGAAGTTTTGGATGTGCTGTCGTTGCAATGAGAAATTTGCTGATGCTACTTCATTCATGCATCACGTTGGGCAGGAACATGTGAGCTGCTTGCTGCCCAGAATGCAGTTCATTTTGCCCCAAAGTGTGAAGGATGAATGGGCTGAGATGCTTCTACACTATTCTTGGAAGCCCCTAGACCTGAATGAAGCAATTAGGATGGTTGGGAGACAGCAAATATCAGTGGAGTCTGATTTCCTTGAGGAATCCACTAACAGCATGGATGATTCAAAAGATTGCTTTCTCGATTCATATTGCAGTGGGTACGAATGGGAATTATCACCTAGGAAGAAAAGATCAGGTGATAAGTTCGGCAGCAGTGGCCAGGACAGCAGGGATTTTGAAGGGGTTGAGTGGATGGACTGCGATGGAGATCGCAGCAGTAAGGAAAATTTACTAAATGAAAATTGGCCTTTGTCTGATGACCCTGAGCGTGCCAAGCTTCTAGACAGAATACATGGCGTTTTCCAGACACTTATAAAAAACAAATATCTGGCAGCAAGTCACCTTAGCAAGGTTATCAATTTTGCAGTGGAGGAGCTGCAGAGTCTTGCTTGTGGTTCACAGCTGCCCCATTCCAAATTGGAACAATCACCTATCTGCATCTGTTTCTTGGGTGCCCCAGAGCTTAAGAAAATCCTGAACTTTTTGCAGGAAATCTCACATGCTTGTGGACCAAATAGATATTCTGATAAAAGTAATGATGGAGAAGATTCAAATACTCGGGCACGAGGTATCGAGATCTTGGAGAAGTTATTTTTTGGTCAAGACGATTCATATTTGGTCCTTGATGAGCATTTTCTCCCCTGCAAGGCCCCTTTATCTTTTGATGATACCATTAATTCTTCCAGTGCAGTAATTTCATCTCATTTGCGCTATGAGAATGGCGTCATACTTGATTCAGATGCATTATTGTCCTGGATATTTAAGGGCCCTACGAGTGGTGAACAATTAGCATCCTGGATGAGGATGAAAGATGAGAAAGCTCAGCAGGGTTTGGAGATTCTCCAGTTGCTTGAGAAGGAGTCTTACCATCTGCAAGGCTTATGTGAGAGAAAATGTGAGCACATGAGTTATGAGGAGGCATTGCAGGCCGTGGAGGATCTCTGTCTGGAAGAGGGAAAGAGAAGAGAACTTGCTACAATTTTGGTCCGCTGCAGTTATGATTCTGTTCTCAGGAGAAGACGTGAAGAACTTATCGAAAACGACAACGAGGTTACCATTATCAGCAATAGATTTGAGTTAGATGCCATTACAAATGTTTTGAGGGATGCAGAGTCACTAAACGTTAACCAATTTGGCCTTGAGGAAACATACAATGGTGTTGGTTCTCATCTTTATGACCTAGAAGCTGGTGAGGATGATGATTGGAGAGATAAAGACGATATACATCAGGTGGACTCTTGCATAGAAGTTTCAATACAGAGACAGAAAGAGCAAGTTTCTAGTGAGGTTTGGCGATATAGTTGTAAGTTTTGTTATTACTTTTTAGGTATGAGTCTTCATCTTAAATTTTCCAGTGATGATTCAGATAAGCAAAATGGAAGCAAGAATAATGCGGATACTTGTGGCGATGCAGCAGTTAGAAGTTGATCTTGAGTCTGCATCTTCCCATGATTTTAGAACCATCCTACTCCCTCTAGTAAAATCATTTATGCGGGTGAGTATCTTGGGAAGGTGAAGCACCTGCTCACGAAAAGTCCTCAACTTTCCTGTTGCATTTTGCAGATATGATTCAGACTTGATATTTATCATTTTTATAGGCACGCCTGGAGGATCTGGCAGTGAAAGATGCCAGAGAAAAATCTGATGCCGCAAGGGAGGCATTTTTGGCTGAACTTGCTCGGGATTCCAAGAAAGGCATCAGTTCTGGAGTTGATAATTCAAAACATGCTCACGAGAAGACTAAGGATAAGAAGAAAAGCAGGGAGAGCCGGAAAAGCAAGGATTCAAAGGTTTAAATCCTGAAACAGACATTGTAATTTTTATATTCGAATTATAGGATGCTGGGTATTTGTTTAATTGTTCTCAATACTGGTTCTGTTGCATCTGCAGGCTACTCAGTCTGATGAGCCGCCCAATCAAATATCTGAAGAGATGTATAAACCGTGTTCCCTCATAACATTTTCATGCCTATCCTTCTAGAGTTCTAGTTTATTTTCTTCGATATACATAGCTTTGAATGAGCTTAATATGTATCTTGCTCCAGATTGTTTCCTAGTGGTTATGATGCTGAGGATCTGGTTCCTGCACTTGCTGATCCTGGGGTTGATGATGCTTTACGGCTACAGGAAGAGGAATACAAACATACAATTGAGCTTGAAGCTGAGGAGAGGAAGCTTGAAGAAACTTTGGAATATCAAAGACGGATAGAAAATGAGGCGAAACAGAAACATCTTGCTGAACAGCATAAGAAATACTTGAGAGCTGCTGAAAAACAAACAGAACCAGTTGCGGTGTCTCATGCACATTTTCAGTCCTACACCGATGACAAAGATGCGAGTGACCTATCAACAAACAGGAAGGTATAATTGCCTATAATCTATTTTCTCCAATCACATGTAACTTCTGTCATGATCTATTTATTATAACATTGAAAGAATGGCTTGCTTTCAAGCTCCAAAAGTATTCACTTTTGTTTGAGGAAGAGGAATTGATATTATTTATCTAAAAGGTTGAAAAATTTACTATCTCCAAAATTCTTTTTTGTCCAGAAGGATGGATTTGCTGATGTTTCAGAAGGTGTGCTGGATATATCTACGAATGGGGCTATGCTGCTAAGTGGTAGGATTTTTTCTTGATATAACAGAAGTCCAAAATTTACCATTTCAGTTAAAAAAATTAATTGCTCTTGCAGGCTTACCAAATGGAGGTATTTCACAAGGGGCTGTGTCTTCTGATCGGCGCATGGGAAGGAGGGGTAGACGGAGTAAGGGTCTAACCACCAAATTAAGTGATGGAAAATGTCCTCCCCTGACATCTGAAAAGGAAGATAGTGATGCTGGTCAGCCGAGATTTGAACAAATTTCAAATGGTTATGTTGGTATGTATTTCTAATTAAAGTTGTATATTGAGTGTCATTTCTTATTTCTCGTGCTGTGTAAAACCTTTGTTTCAGTAGAAATACATAATTATTTCTGTGATCATTTATCATAGGAAGTTTTGAATGAGGATAGTTTTTTATCTCATTATTGGCTTTGGATAATTTTATAAGTAATATGCTTCTGGGAAGTCACAGATCTGTTGCATGAGATATATTGTTATATTTGAGTTTTCTAATCTGATTGCATTATTTGCCAAAAGTGAGTTCACCTATATGGCGGTTCAGTTGGATTATGTCCAGAATTTGCTAGTCTTTATTAGTTTTGGATTTAATTAATATTCTTCGCTCCTATTCGTTTGGGATGAAAGAAACTCTGGATGTTCGTAATTTTGTGAAAGCTTAACTTTTAGAGGAAACCTGTAACCTGTATAATTAACAGCCCTAACATACATTCTGTTGTGGAAAGTAGCCATGATTGTCCCTTCTGATCAGGACTTTTGAATTTCTGAATATTGTAATCAATATGTCGGACTTGGTTCGTCAAGCTCTGCCTTCGTTACTTTGTCGATTGGACCTCCCGAAAGTACTTCCTGCAAGAAGATAGGTTAGATTACTTTAAGAAGCAAAAGTAAAATAAGCATTTAAATTCTAAATCACGATGTTACTGCTCATTTGAAAAAGGTGATTGATGCACATTAACGTATTCAGCGATGCGTATATAGAAGGATGAAATTATGTCATTTCTATAATCATTTTATATCCATTGTATTTACTTCAATGGATGGTTGCGCGCGCGCACACACACACACACATATCTTTTGTTGTCTGCTTAGATAAACGAGTTTGAGGAATGAGGATGAAGGAACCAAAACCAGGACTTGGTCGTTCCTTTTTGGTTTTGATTATCATTATTTGAAGAACCACTATTGTGGTCATTGCTGGTGCAGAAAGATACCAAATGACTTATGGAAGAAAGCCACCATTTGATAACAATAAAAATAGCCGACAGTTTGTACCTTGGTGCTGAAAGATTTGAAATTGATTTTTACTTGTTAGTATCTGATTATATTCTTGTTAGCCCCAAATCCTTCGGTTCCAGGCAACCTTCTTGAACTGCTCTAGGACTAACACATAATAAATGGTCTAGTGAGTGTATGTTAGCATGCACGGTTACCATTTTAAACAAAGTTCAGCTGTGCTGTTATTACGCTTTTTGTAGCTTGATAGAATTTTAACAGATATTAATGTTGATACTTCCATCGTATAGATAATGGAGGAAAAACATTGAGACAACTTCAAGCTGAGGAGGACGATGAAGAGAGGTTTCAAGCTGATCTACAGAAAGCTGTACAACAAAGCCTCGGTATGTTTCATCTTTTCCTTTTTCCTTGTCTTCTTTTGTTTGTGATTTTATGGTGAACCTACTCTTGAATCGATTACCCCAGTATATAATATATTTGTTTTCAGTTCAAGAGATATGATGCGAGGAAAAGATAAATTATGGTTTGCTATCATTGAATGTTCTCATGGCTGCTACTTAAATACTTGTAGAAGCTTAATTTTTCTTATCCTTTCCTGCAATGATACTTGCATCAGCACATGGAAGTTATTAGTTGTGTATGATGCACCTTATAGTCTCCACAACATGACTTGTAATATTCCTGTTAATTCTTATACACCTTATTTTTCTCTTCTTGGTTTGCTTGTAGTTTATAGTGTTGCCACAGTTCTGTTGAATTGATTGTGTATTTTACAAACTACTGATTGTGATGGGTGTATGATACCTAGTACAAACTACTGGCTTGATAAGTGGACTTGGGGAGAACTCATCCCCAGAAGCTAGCTCAAAGTGTTTGCTGCCAGATAGACATGTACGCAATAACAGCCTAATAATTAATCGATGTGGGACAAACATAAACTTCTAACATGGCTGATCTAGGCTAACTTGCTAATGACTTTGGGAAGGCAGCATTTCTTGTGGGGGTCCTGAGATGAGTGTCTTTATAGTGATCACAATAGATTAATTCTAGTTCATTTTCAGTTTTAACTTTATGCATACCATAATCCTCATTGTTCATAAATTTCTGACAAAGTTCCTTGACCTTTAAATAGCTGTGTTGGATGTTGAAGGTTTGGAGAAGCCACAAAGTTATCAAAGATTTTTCTTTTGTTATATTAACTTTTATGTGCTCCTTTAGAAACACAAATTTGCTGTGTTAAAACTGAGTGGAACAACCTTGTCTGCTCTATGTGGCATTTTCACTTATATCTTGAATATTTTTGGTTCAGATGCATTTCAGTCACGCGGAAAGTTACCTTTAATATCAACTTCAGCAGCTCCACAAAAGGAGCTTCCAGAAACCATTGACTCCAGTGTTTCACGTGATCAAGCTGTGACAGATAATGGTATGGATGATTATGGAACAGGGCTAATGAATGAAGTTGGTGAATATAATTGCTTTCTCAATGTTATAATACAGGTTTGTGTTAGGAGTCTGTTATTCTCTATATCTTGTTGAATATTATTGTCCTCCACCAATTTTTGACTTCAGTATACAATATTCACTTAGCCTGAAAACACTCTTTCTTTTTTTTTTTTTTGTTCTCCTTCTTTGAATACAGTCCTTGTGGCACCTAAGACGATTCCGAGATGAGTTTTTGCTAAGGTCGTCATCAGAACACGTTCATGTTGGTGATCCTTGTGTTATATGTGCTTTGTATGACATCTTCAATGCTCTGGGTATGGTATCCAAAGATTATAGAAGAGAACCTGTTGCCCCAACCTCTCTTAGAGTTGCTTTAAGCAATTTGTACCCTGATAGTAGTTTCTTCCAGAAGGTAAATCTAACTACTGCAGCATCTGTTGTTTTCTTTATCTGAGTAATTCTTACTCAGTGATAAGATCTCAAGGAATTTACTGGGTACAATCATGTGTCATGTGTGCAACCGTGCAGGGTCAGATGAATGATGCTTCTGAAGTGCTGGGTGTAATATTTAGCTGTCTTCATCGATCATTTACTCCTGCATCTGTAGTGACTGATACGAAATTAGTAGATACTAGCTGTACTGGCTCATGGGACTGCACAAATGCTTCTTGCATTGCACACTCAATATTTGGAATGGATATATTTGAGAGAATGAACTGTTACAACTGTGGCTTGGAGTCCAGATACCTGAAATACACGTCTTTCTTTCATAATATCAATGCCAGTGCTGTCAGAACAATGAAGGCATGCTTTTTTGTCTTAAATTAAGGTTTATTACAAATACTACCTTGAGTTTAGCCCAATTAATACTAATATCAGATTTCTTTCAGAATTAACAATACCTATTGACATATAAATCTTTTAAAAATTTTATGCCTCAGAATAGGTAGCTATGGACCTCAAGAGCGTGTGGGTATTTGTTATATTAGAAGATAGCTGTTAAGTTTTTTTTTTTTGGTTTTTCTTTTCAGTAATTAGGCCGAAACCCTGGGTAATTATTATCTATGATTATGGTGCTGTTGTGATTGGAAGACATTGGCTGGTAGAAGAATAAATGTGTGACTAAATTATAATCCTTGCATTGTCGGTATTGAAATTCTTATTTTGCATTTTAGGTTATGTGCCCAGATGGCTCCTTTGATGAAGTTTTGAACCTGGTTGAGATGAATCATCAATTAGCTTGTGATCCTGAGGTTGGCGGCTGCGGGAAGCTCAACTATATCCACCACATTCTCTCCTCGCCACCACATGTTTTCACAACAGGTGATTTGTTTCTTATATGACTAGTACTCTTGTTGTATCCTTGTTTTTCTCATTGTTTGTTTCTTTTCACATTCTCTTTGTGAATTCTTATTGTGATCTTGAACTGATCAGTTGGCACTCTGTTTTGATACAAATGATTTTTTTCCCTGTTTCTTGTAGTCCTGGGTTGGCAGAATACTCGCGAGAATGTTGATGATATAATGGGGACAATAGCAGCCTTGTCCACTGAGATAGATATCAGTGTCCTCTATCGTGGTCTTGATCCCAAGAATAGACACCGTCTGGTTTCAGTGGTATGCTACTATGCTTCTCTAAATTACTTTCAATGTGAAAGATTTTTTTTTTTT